TTGGTGATCAACCATAAACAGGTCTCATACATTTTCCTTTCTTTTTTACATTATTCTTAGTACTACCTGATTTGACAAGCTACCATGCATTTTATTTTTATTTCTGTGCACGAGCTTATAGTAGTTCTATATGATAAAATTAAGAATAGTGATGAAGTAATGACATTAATAACTTACAGCCAAAAATATGGTATCTTTTTTTGAAACAACATCTATACAAGAATTATTGATTTCCTGAAGTGAGTGACCAACAGTCTAAAAATCACTGTGATTTATTGAGGCATCCATGTAAGGACATATATATTTTTTTCTTTTAGGCACTGTAAAGTTAGGCATACATTCTGAGTTGTGTGAGGCTACATGGGAAAATATGCTTTGGACTTCAGTATGTTAACTCCTTATTTCCTGCATAAGGATATTGAAAATCTCTTGGTTTTGTCCATTAATTTCAAGAAGGTTTGACTGACAAGAAAGCTTATGTACACACATTCACTTGCATAATTCAGATAGCTTAACCTCCACACGTGATGAGCGCTAATATTTTTATAAACTATTTGGAAATGTGAGTAACTGAGAATTTGGTGTTCAGGTAATTGAGGTTCTTCAGAATCAGAATCAGGGCTTCACTTGTAAAAGGGAGTTAAAATGTTTATGATAATAAAGTATATTCCTTGGACAAAAGTATGATTTCTGGTATCTCTATTTCTGAATATATGATCTTAACAAAAAAGGAAAAAAAAAAAAAAAAAGAACAATGGAATCTTAAAATGTTTGATTAATGGAAAAAGCTTAGAGCTAAGTTTGAGGCCTGATCTCAGAGCTTCTAGGCTGGAAAAAATGTCCCATTAATTTTAGTGGGAGTTTTGACTGCACAAGGACTTTCAAGATCACGTACTTTCTTGTTCATTAAAGGATAGAAAGTAATTAGAAATAAAGCACAGAAAAGATTTTATGCAGTATTGCTTTTGTCAGCTGAAAAATCCATATTACTGTAGGAGTCTTAGACTAATCTCTCTCCCTTTCTTGCATAAAATGATGACACAGTAGGTTGTTTTCATTACTTTTAGCAGGTCTGTTTTTCTGTCTGTTTCTTTTACTGGGAGAAAGCAACTGGCAAGTTGCTTTTATTTATTTATTTGTTTGTTTTCTTACTGTTTGTTTTGTGTGTGTTACTTTTTTTCTGTTCAACTGCAATCTCATCTATGATGCTGACTTTGTTATTTCCCTTCTCCTCACAAACTGTTTCCCTCAAAATATTCAACTTTTTGTTTCTAAGTTGTCAACGACAAAAGAAATAAAAAGTCTGTTTATTTTGATTGAAAGCTTTGATGATGTCATCACATGAAATAGAGGAAGAGTTGGAGAGATTAATAGAAAGTTTTGCAGAAACATGTCTTGTATGTTTGATGACAAAACATTTTGAATTTTGAACACTTCCTGAGAAAGAAGATATACATACTTAAGACAACCCAAATCCATGTCTAAAAGTTTAAGGCAGTCATAAGCCATTTAATGAATCATGAGTTTACTCACATTCAGTAATGGGAGAATTTTCTACACTGACTTCATGAAAAAGGGGTTCATCTCCTACTGAAACTGGCTGGTTTTTTTGTTTGTTTTTTCTTGCATCAAAACCTTCTTTCTTTCATAAATTCTTTCGTAATTTATTTCAGTGAAGCGCATGGTCCAAATTTAATTCTAGTTTCAGTTGTCACTTGTAAAACTAGAGAGCAGGAGCCACTTTCTTTACCTCTTTCTACTGTCTACTTGTAGGAAAGAGAAGCTGTAGAAAGGTGGAGAATCAGGGAAGATATTACTTCCCCTGGTCTATTTGCTGGCCATGCAGTATGTAATGATCTTAATTATTATAAAACCCAAGATAAAATATGTTTTACTTAGAATCATACAGTCTTTTGAGTTGGAAGGGTCCAACTCCCCTGCAATGAACAGAGAATCTACAGATAGATAGGGTTGATCAGAACTTCGTCCAGCCTGACTTTGAATGTCTCCAGGAATGGAGAGCATCCATCACCTCTCTGGGGAAACTGTTCCAGTGCAACACTATCCTTGTGATAAAAAAAACAAAAACAAACAACAACAACAAATTTATTCTATCCAATCTAAATCTCTCCTCTTTCAGTTTGAAACCAGTCCCCTTTGTCCTATTACAACAAACACTTCTGTCTGGCCCCTTCTTTTTTATAGCCCTTCTTTTCATACTGAAAAGCTACTGTAAGTCTCCCTGAACAGCCTCAGCTTTCTCAGCCTGTCCTCATAGGGAAGGTGTACCATCCAATGGACTATGTGGGGAAACAGTTGACTTTCTGGGCTGTGAGGGCACATTGCTGGCTCATGCTCAGCTTGCAATCCACCAATATTCTCAGGTCCTCTTCAGCAGGGCTGTGCTCAATCCTTTCATTCCCTAACTTGTACTGATAGTGTGGGTCGCCATGACCCAGTTGCAAGACTTCAGACTTGGCTTTGTTAAACCTCATGAGGTACTCCTGGGCCCACTGCTTGAGCTTATTTAAGTCTCCCTGGATATCATTCCATCCCTTGTCTGTGTGTCAATCTCACCACACAGATTGGTGTCATCTGCAATCTTGCTGCGGTTTCAATTGAAGAGCATCAGGCCCAGTACTGACTCCTGAGGGATACCACTTGCCACTGATCTCATCTGAATACTGAGCCATTAACCATCACTCTGTGTACAGTCTCACAATCAGTTCCTCATATATTGAGCAGTCCACCCATCAAATCCATATCTTTCCAATTTGGAGAGAAGGATATTGTAGAGCACCATGTCAAAAGCCTTAATGAAATCCAAATAGATGACATCATTGGCTCTTCTCTTGTCCATCGATGCAGTCATAGAAGAATATGCTGCTTGGTCAGAGAGGACTTGCCACTGGTGAAGCTGTCCAGATTGTCTCATGTTATTTCTTTCTCTTCCACATGGCTTAGCATAGCTTCCAGGAGGATCTGTTACTCTTATGTTGCAGTAGTCTTTTTTGGAAAGCAGTCATGTAGAAAAAAGGCCTCATATTTAATGATACCACATATTTGTCATTTCAGTTGGCAGTTTTTGTATGAATAGTGTTTGATTTCTGTTCATTCTTGTTTCATTTTGATGGCCTAGATAAGCTTTCAACTAACTATCTAAGGGAATGGGGAAAATATTCATTATTTGTTGTTACTGAAATTATTCTTGTGATTCCTTTCCAATTATTTTTTGTAAAAACAGTGCTTACTATTTCTGTAAAGGTGACTGATTTATGTAGAGGTGACATTCTAGCAAGTAATAAAATATTTGATATTATGGCACACAGTCTGACTTCAGAAATTCATCACTCTATCAAAGTGGATGGAACTGTGCAATATACACTCCAAAAAGAAAGCTTGCTCCACAGGGACCCTCTCTCTGCATTTTCACCAATTTAATTCTGTTGCCTTTGGGTGAACTGCACTTCATTTGTACTCATGTAAATGAGGAAAACAATCACATGTAAAGTACCAGAGGAGGCATAGGAAGATTTTAAAATGAAACATTCTCTGTGGATTTCACCTTTTCTTAAGCTACACTCACTGATCTCCATGGATTATATAAGTACCTTTAGATTCAGACTGTAAGACAAAATAACATTTCTGCTCGCATAACATTTTATTCTAAGTAAAATTTTAGATGGCAAAGAAGGGATCTTCTGAAGCCGGTTGGAAATGTAACTTCAGATATCAGAGGAGCATATTTTTGGTAGATATAAATACTTAAGATGACTTTCTGCTTTCAAGGGAAGTTACTGAAAAAGCTTTTAGAACTATGATATAATTCTCCAAGAACACAGAACTTGTATGAAATATCTGAGGTATCTGTTGGGAGTACTTTGGAAGAGACATGTTTTCTGCTGTAACTAAAAGCACTGTTTGATATAAAGTTTTCTGAGGATTTTGTTCACTATATGATGGCAAAGGAGTGGATAAACAATTCTGTACAGAATAATAAAATCCTTTTTGAATAGGGTGCACTGAAGGCTTGTTTGCAATTTGGGCTTTTTGCTCTACTAAGAATAGATTTGAAATTGTCCAACTTTCCAGATACATTCCTCTTAATTTAACATTCTCTCTGGGAAGCATTCTTTTCTCCAATAAAAGAGAACAGTAAAAAGGGCTGGTACTGCCTTGGTACCTTATTTTAGACTATATTTTCAAATAAATGTGATTTTCTGGATTAAATTGTTCAGACTTACTGTGGTTCTATTTGTTTGTCAAGGTGGATAAGCAATTCAATTCCTATTGTAATATGCAGTTTTGAAGGTTCTTCATACTTGGTAACCTACTGAACTTTCCCTCCACAATTATCTTACAGTCACACACGTATACAGCCATTCTTATTCAAGACCTGGAAGACATGGTATTTTAAGGTGCCTGAGAACTCTGAGGGAACCCGAAGTACATAGTGCTATTTATTTTCAGCAGTTAGTAACACAGAATGAACATCCATTAATGCTCCTACATTGAACGCATTTAGTTGTAGTTTTAAAGATCTGCTGTTTTTACTTTTTAAAGTCTCAGTGTTGATTAACAATATCCTAATAAAAAGCTTAATAGAGCATTAAATTAAAAAAGAAATCTTCTTCTTATGAGACAGCTATTTCAGCTGGTAGTTCACTATACAGAACAACAAAAAAAAAAATAACATCCTGCTATGGCATCTGAAAATCTGTTGCCTGGTGCAACAACATGTTACACAGTCAGCCTTCAGAAACCAAACTGATGTTTAACATAGCATTTTAGTGATACAATGCATATGTTTGGTAACACCAAGCTATGGCATCTGAATTTTTTGAATTTTTTTAATAAAAAGATATATATCTTCCTTCAACAGAAATTTGCTCACATTTTGCTCTATGTATGACCAATATTGGGTTGCTGGGGAGGTGGGCTATCTAAAGACCTATAGTAAGAATGACACACCTTTTTATTTAAATATTATTGCTTTTTAGGCACTGAAATTTGGAGATATGCCGAAGTACTTGTGGGAGATTTGGGTACCTGACAAACCATGGGTGGTAAGATACCAGATCCACTGAAATAAATAAAATAAACATTTAATTTTCAGTTAGGTAATTTGGGCCCTGCTGTAACTGAATTCAATGGGCAAAAATCCTGCAGGACGTAAAGGACATTCTGCAACTTTATTCAAGCTCATATCCTCTTTTTTTCAATATTTTCACACTGGTTTGAGGTTGAAGTAATGCTTATAGTGAACAAGAACTACCATCTAAGGGGAATGGGGAATTACTCACCTGAAGGTCGTAATACGATTTTTTTGTTATTTTTATGAAGATAAACTCTTGCCATCAGAACAAATCACAGTTCACAGGTGGGCCTACCGAATAGTACCATTCTCCAGCAATTTTCTTTGTTAGTTCTGTATAACACTCTGGACTCCAACCTAGTAGTAAGCCAAGGAAAATAACAGTCTCCTTTGAAGCACCATGTGGGCTTCTCTGAAAATGAGTCCAGCAGATGCTGGCTGTTGTTCACTTTCAGGGTCAGTAATCAGAGAACCAGGGTTGAGTGTTCTGATTTCTAAAACTCTGGAATAAGAGGAGCTATGGTCTATTTAGATTCACAGTTTCTTCTCTGTGCAGAACTCCAGTCTAATCCATCAGCTTCCATGCTCCTTCTTAAATAATAATAATAATTATAACAACAATAATAATCTTGTGTATGTGTGTGTCCTTATTTTATTTATTTCACTTGAGAAATAAAGTACAGTAGAATCCGAATAGAGCTTTCAGGATCTCTTCACTGTCAGCTTTTTGAAGAGAGCCTGTCTAAACTTAGATTACAAAATGCTATGTGGAAGTTCAGAACTATGATGTCTTTTGAAGGTTAAAAATAATAACTGCAATCTGAATTTGGTTGCATCTTATGATACTTTTAATTACATTTACGCTTATTTACATTTGTTCAAACTGAAAGCTTACAGTAAGTCTCTTCCTCCATCATTTAGCCTTCTTTCACCAAAACTAACCATTCTATGGCAGCTGCTTTAAGCTACATCAGAGAAAGAAAATTTCCTCGAAAATGACAAGTTTCTAATGACAGACATTCAACTTAAAATTATATTTCCTTGCTACAGAATACTTAGCTTTTTAGCCTTAATAGACTTTTTTTTTTCCCCCTTCAGTCTTGACATTTCACAGATAGGAGAATTGCTTTCATTTCCTACTGTAAAATATTCTGAATGAGATTTTTGAATTTCAGTAAGTGTACTATATAATACAGACATCTGGATATCGAACATATTTCTTCTCTCTGATTATAAGGAATGCTGTTTTTATATATTAGTTCAGTAACATGAAAGTTGAAGGAAATATTGAAGGAAAAAAAGATCGTCATATGCAGGACAAAGTAAAATGAGCATGCTAATAATTGGGATTAGGCTTCAGCTACTAAAAATGTAGGTACCTACGCATAAGTAGCTATACTTAAATTCCTATTTTAAGCAATGGAAAATTGATACCTAGTTAGTCCATTCTGAACTACATAAATTGCTCTGAAAGTAACACCTCCTATTTATTTCCACGGAAACTACTACAGACACAAAGAACACAATAACACTATTTAACAGAAGGAATTATCAGATGCAAAACTATAATTGTCAACATATTCACTGCAATTGGCTGTGCATTTCTGCCAGCTATGAACAAGAGACACATGCTGCGCTCATAAAAATTTGAACCACTATCACCACTGATGAAATGCATCACCCATCACTTCACTATTTGGTTACCATAAAAGTTCAGCAATTATGATTGTCAGCGGCTGCCTTTTTTTTTCCTGCATGGAACAATTCAATGACAGACCTTTGCTTTGTATGTGCTACCACGTCATTTTGTCAGTCTGCCCTTTTTTTTTTTGACACCATTTTGTCAGTCTGCCCTTCTGCTGCCATCTGTTGGGCAGTAATAAAATGGAATGGTGGGAATAATCAGACTACTGTCAGAACAACAGCTCTTCTGCCTCTGATGTTTTGTGAGCCAACATTAAACAATAGGAGGCATTCAGTCAGTGGAATATCAAATGGAACTAAACATGCACCTTAGCCTCTAGCTCTGTTTTTTTGATGCCTCTTTGGGTACAAGTTTGTACTGTTTTAGAAGTTGTGACTTCTAATACTTGATTTCAGTGGATACTAATTACAAAATATAGAGTCCCTTGTATAGTCTTTCATCAAAGAACAAGATCAATATTTCTCACCTTTTTTGAGAGGAGGTATAATTCTATACATTACCTTTTAAAAGCTGATCTTTCACGAGTTACAGCTGTCAGGAAAATCATTTTAATGGAAATTGGATGTTAACTTATAGAAACTAAGTTCTAAAGTCACTCAAGTAGAGGGAAATTTCCAAAGTTTTAAACTAATTTCTGGAAGATTTTACATGTTCTGAATTCATGCTCCTAATCAGACAGATCTTTTCAGTTAGTTAGTTTTAGTATATAAAGAGAGTTAAACAAAAGAGTAAACTATTTGCCATGCTTGTTGTATTTATTTTTTAACATATATATGTGATTATCTTTGCTCTGTTTGATGAAATTTAGGGTGGAATTTTTATGTTTTTTTTTTAAATTTTATTTTTATGCATTTTTATGTATTATTATTTTTATGCAATTATTATGTATTTTTACTTGTTTTTTTTTGTTTTGTTTTGTTTTGTTTTGTTTTATGGCAGCAGGCTTCATTCCCACTAATGTAAACATTCAGCTTTGAAAAATACTTTCAACTACTTGATTTATAGAAACCACTTACAACATTTTTTTTTCAATTTTCATACTGATATGTCATCATACTCTGAGAAACAGCAAAATAGTGTTGATGGTCCATAGAATGAATGAAAACTAATCATTTTTTCAATTTATTATTGAGAATGAATAAAGATGTTTTGCTTTTATTATTTTTTTATATTTTAATGGTTGAATTACCTGTGAGTTCTTTCTTTGCTCATGCAAACAGCAATTACATAGTCTCTTTCTGAAGACTTTTTGGCAAAGCACATTCACAAAGCAATTTCAGAGTAACTTAGTTTGTAACAGAAGGAAAAACAAACAAACAAACAAAGAATAACAACAAAACCCCTCCTAAAAAAAGGGTTCACACCCCATGGATTTTCTATTTTTTTGAAGTTAGATTTCAGTCATTGCTTTTAATGGTAGTTGGTAGCTGGGCCCTGTTAGATTAGCTGGGCCCTGATTAGATGCAGAAGTTTTTAGGTAATAGTATGGTATACCTGTTTATCAGCAGTTCAGATGCCATGATCTCGTGGATGAACTAGTATGGAATGGGATGGAAATAGGAACAAAAACACAGCACTCAGTGATGAGTAATCTAAAATGTACTTAGCATGTGAGACAAATTTTAGCAGATAGATGGCAATTTCACTTCTATGAAATCTATTCTACAGCACACATACATGACCACACACATACTGACATCACTTCTTTCATTCTAGTTCAGATCAACATGCAGAACCAGGACACTGACTCCAACTATGCAGCATGTCTGGGTCATGATTGGCAGCTGGGGCCCTGTACGCAGCAGCTCATGCTCAGATCTCTTTATGATGCTGGATGTTCATGGATGTGTTTACCAATGAATGGTTATTATCTTAGTTGTATGTTGCTTTCTAAATCATGTCGTTGGCATAAGCCACAAATCAAGCTAGTGGGCCATGCAATCTTGTGTCTTTATTTACATATCCTCAGGCCAGTTTCCTTGGTACAATCCATATATAAAGCCAACTAGCAGTTGTCACTGAGGGCTCTTTCACTCTCTGGTCTCCCACCCCACTGTTACAGCAGTGTGAAGTCAGCAACAATTTCAGCATGGATTACATGCATGAAGACATGCTTTGTCTTTAAGCTTATAGTGGGTTAATTTAGTTATTTGTAGAGGGACAGATGTAGTCATGGTGGCATTTATGTGATCAGTGCTTTTGAGTAGACTCTACCTCACGAGATGTAGTTAAAATGATACCTTCTAGGAATGTAATGATCCATTCCTTTGGGGAAGAGAACTCCCTCCCTATACACATCTGAGAGTTTGCATGCATACAGGGAAAAAAACAAAAGAATGCATGGAATAGTCAAAAGCAAAAGGAAGGGGTAGACTTGTGATGGATGGATGAAGTGCATGATGTTCATGACTGAGCTTGTCCTAAAGTTCTTTGAGAGATTAAAGAGATACTGAACTGTCAGTAAAGACATAAGTTAAAAGATAAAATCTGCGTGTACTCAGGTATCTCATCTGAGTATGTTCCTTGTAAATGGCTTGGTTTCCAATCAGTAGACTGTGTAGGAACTATTCTGCATAAAAAGTTTTTGAAGCTGTGTATTTTTCTCAACTGTTCAGGCTAGATGATAATTGATTGAGTCAGGATTCTGAGAATTTGAATGCTCTGTAAATTTTATTTTTGGAGTCTTCATATGTAGATGCTGTTATTAACCTGAAAGAAACTTCCAACAATTTGAATTTTGTTCTGACCATAACTTTCAATGCCTATCTAAAAGAAGACTAAAGAAAAGCCTTAACTTGAGTGTAATTCACCCAAGAGATGTGGGACTAACAATGATCTTACTTATAACTGGGTTTTATTTTGATCTTCTTTTCAAAAGTAAGCTGCTTTTTTAGTTCAGAATCATTTAAACAAATAATAATAAAAAAAAAAACTGGTCTACTAAGTACTATTTTTCTGTCTCAATTGCAGTTTAATAAAACTGACAGGTATTTATATAAAGGCTTCCATTTGTATCTTGACTTCATTTCTCCCTAATTAGTAGTGTTCAATGTACCATTCTGATTTTTCTTTCACCCTCTTGGTGCCTGCATCTCCCTATGGGTATCCCAGCTGTTTTCTTTTCTTTCTGTAATTGAAATTAAACTTGTTGCAGCCTGTAATTGTTAGTGAGTCTAACTATCTAATGTTTTCTGCGAGACAGATGTACTGCAGAAGCAGATGAAGTGCCATATGGAAAACAAAGTGCCCTACTGGGGTGAAGATAG